ACACACACACACACACAGACAACCCCGTAACAACATGCGTTTTGTACTGCTGTTACACAGTACAAAACGCATAAAAAAGGACGAAAAACTGACCAGCACAAGTCACAGTAACAAAAGAAAACTGACAATTATTGATCGTGCAGCAAAGAGGATTGCTAATCAATAGCGCACTGATGGGATCCTGAAGTCCTTGCCTGAGAGGAAAAGATAACATATACAGAAAGTGCCAACATCTTTTTTTTTACATAGTTTCCTTGTTTCTCAAGTGCAATAATCTCTCTCAACTTTCTTCTAAATGCACATCCAAGAAAGGGTAAGTACAAACTAGGGACACGTGATTTCAGGATAGAACGGGTACACACGCAAATATATACAACTACAAATACAAATACATAAATTTAACGAGAAATTGGATGCTTATACTAATAAACGATAGTCAACAAACATACAGCTCAGAAGAAGAACAGAATGACGTGATTTTGGATCAATTCTGCAAGGATTAATCCCCAGATAATAACTACTGCACGTTTGCCAATGATTATGTGAGATTGAAATTTTGTTTGACACGATCCGGTAATGCAGCTTTCCCCTTCACTTTTTGCTTCTCCTCAAACAATACTTCTCGTCCAACTGAAAATGAGCTTGGGCTTCAAATATTACGCGTGAAACTCGAACTCTGCGCCGAGAAATTCACAACGGATGGATGATGAATCCACCAGCTGAGCTGATAAATCTCTTGAAAGAGAATTCAGGGTTTGAATCGGGCAAAAAAGCCTATTTTGGCTCGGGCTCTAGGATTGACAACTTCTGGAACGTGTTGGTAATGCCGCAAAAAACATCTCAAAACGGCTCTGAATCCTCGCAAAGTTCTTTTGCTGAAATTCGTTTCGGGATGTGAGCCAAACGTCAGGATCGCCAGGTGTGATGCAGTACTGGTTAAAGCAAAAGGAACAGCTGCTGCCAGGTCAGCAAGTTTGATTAAGAGAAAAACCGGCGAAACCAGTCAACTAAACTAAAAGAATATTATCCTGGTTAAAGTGCTTTAGAAAAACTGATTGGTGACATTCTCAGACCTTTAAATCTGTGCAATTTATCAATAAACATGAGTAATGTGCAAAATTGGCTGGAACTGTGCAAGCGGAAGATTCGATTTTTGTACTGATATCACAAAATTTTTTGCCGCATCCTGATTCGGCGCTTTTTTTTTGAAAACTTGATCTCGAATCCCACCCATCAAGCCAAACTCCCAGCTCTGTCCAGATAATTAGGTACGGTGTCGATCCCTCTATCTCCTAAAGCAGTTTGCAGCTCAACAATTCGAACAGAACAAGGCTCCGATAAGGATTCGGGATATCCTGGGTGCGCATTTTCGAGCTTCATCTCGGAAATTTTTACCTACGGACAAGATAAGTTACCTCACCATCTCCAGTCACTGTAACTAAAATTTAAACCACATCACACAAGAGGAAAAAAGATGGGAAAAAAACGATACGACTTGAGGAAGAATACGAACAATTACCGGCTGGATCGTAAAAAATTCCACGAAATTTGTCCGCTGCTCGTTCTCGTATCCATATCCTCGTACTGCCAGATACAACGCTTGCCAGCTGAACTATAACGTATCTGAAAAGAAAACAAAAATACGCCTCATGTAGAGGGAGTAGTGTCCAAAAGTGCCCCGAACGAGGGAATGTTCAGAATAAGAAAATAAAAAAGAATTGGGGCTAAGACGAAATTGCTTTGGTGCAGTTCAGGATCTGAATCCGTGACGCAATTCACGGCTCTCTGACGCATCCTTGTCACCAGAAAGCGATTTTCTCAACGAACAGCAGGTCGCCTGTCACACAAATTCGGGATGCCACTTCGGGGGTGTGCAATTCATCCGCCACAGCAACGTGCCGTTGCTCATTTTCATCCTCCACCCACTCATGAAAACACAACTCGAGGCACAGCGAAACAGCCCTGCTACCAGCAGGCAGAAGGCTGAAAGCCACTGGGATAAGCAGCCTCTCTAAAATTCATCTGTTCATTCGCTTCGACGGTACTGGTGCATACCAAGGATGACAGATGGGTTCCTTTTTTTTTCTGAGCAAATTTCGGAGGACGGAGCCACCGACAGCACTTCCGGTGGCTGCTCCAGCCCATCATAGACAGTGCGCATCGAGGCAAACGAGACAATCCGACTGAAAACAACAACTTACTTCGTTTTTGGTGCCATCCAACCGG